GATTGATTGGCCATAAATATCCAGTGTAAATCAGGCGGAGACTGCGTCATGTTAAGGCAACGTGTGCTCCATGTTCTTCCATTAATTCAAGAGCTTTCCTGGTACAACCGTCCTCCTCACAGCAGCCGTCCTCCACCCAGTGTGTGTCCAATGGCCTTCATTTCCGTGACAGCACAGTGTGGGCGCTTCCACATGTACGGTATTATATTTACTGTAAATGATTTGGCCTTTTTTGTCTATGCTACAGTGACAATCAAATACTCTTCCACTTGTGTAAACTCTTTGTTTAATGATCCATCACTCGTATAAAACCATGTTTTATTTAGTGAATTAATTCATGTTCAACCTGACTTTTCAAATATAAGATGGGTGTATCATCGCTCAGTTATATGGTCCAATGAGTTTCCCATCGTTGGGTTTAAAATACTGCAAGGTACATGTGAACAAAAATGAACAAAACCAACTGCTGTGGAACACTACCTTCCTTCACCATCTACAAGAAAATTGAGTCTTCTCCAAAAAAAAACAAAAACTTTTAGTCGCAAACCATTGCTGATAATTGTGATTGCCATATCTAAAGACCTGCAAACCCATTTATCAGCCCAACACCAAAAGCACCGTGAAGCTGCCACTTAGATACTTAAAAAAAAAAAACAACCAGAAACTCATGAAACAAGCACCACTTTGTCCTTGGCAATTTTCTTATTTGAACGAGTTTGTTTTTGTCACTTGATGCACTGAAACTTCAATATTGTTACTGTTTTTTAGCACTAAGGTTGATAAAGTGAAAGATAGAACACGTAGACAGGATTTGTATAGTCAAGATTAAATTGTAAGTTATAGATAACTATATTTTTTATAGAATTACAGGCTGATTGAAAATATGTAGTTATATAAAACAGTACAAGAACCATACATTGTCTGGCAGACCTTTTTAAACAAAACATGTGAAAATATACCGAAGCTGAAGAACTTTCTACTCCACTGGAAAATGTTGATGACGTTTGAATCAACTATGACACAGACGTACTAAAAGGTTGGTCATTTAGTTGCAACAAAACATCCAGTCTCTCCTTTGTTCCAAGCTGTTTGACCCCAGTGCTGATATCACCCTTCTGGACTGTGTGCCGTGCAAGGCCTAAATGGATTTTCATGCAGTTTCCAAACCATACATTTGGTGAAAAGAAATTACATTTTCTTATTGTCTGTGTCGAGATGATGGAAGTATTCTGGGGAGAGAAAGTGTACGCAGAGACAAACGGCTCAGAGGAAAACCTGGGAAAACATCATCAAAGTGATTTCCTACCAAATAACATTTTCACTCACAGCGACAGGGTGCTTTTTTGAGCATCCGGATTTTTTGAGTTTGTACTGTTCCCGAGAAGAGAACATTATAGCGTTCCTCTTAGCGCTAATCATACAACAATACATGGTTAATGACATCTTAACTGTGCAGCACATTTCTGTAGGGGCATTATGTCCTCCTGAGAAAATAGTACTGTAATCAAGCTGAAAGAAACACTTTGACAAAAAAGAACAACACTTTTGTCAATTGCCTTCCGTTGGAAAAAATCCCAAAGTTGTTTAAAGCAAATGGAAAAATGAAATATCCTTCCTGTGGCGAACGCAGAGATTTTTGCAATTTTTTTTTTCTCCATCGTTTGTTGTTATGTTTAGTGTAATGTTTCATTGTGCACTTATCATAACAAAATACTATTTGGTTAAACCACAGATGGCAAATGACAATTCAATCGGCTTAGAAGAAAAACATCACCTGATATGGAAATCTGGCACAAAAAAATAAGAATAAAAAAAATGATCAACCAAATGTGATGAAAGGTCTTTGGTAACTGTAGTGAAAATGACTGGTTTGATGAGCCCCATGAACAGTGTGAAGCTAAAGGTAATGCTACGATTACCTGAACAAAATGCAAAGACCAGGTGTCGCACTTACAGAAGCCAGGGAGTGGCAATTAAATTCAGGATCAGTGTTCAGAAAAGACTGTATGGTGTTGGACGCTCTCATCCACTCGTTGACGCGTGACTCATGGAACCCGTGTAATTAGCCCACATAATTGCAACATTTCAAAGGTAGTTATTTTACTCATATAGCCATAATTATACAATCCCACCTTCAGTGTGCCTCGTCACATGGGCTGCCATGCTTCGCACACATAACGTGTGGTCCCAAAAATAAACTCACGATCACACACAATTCCATGCATACTACTACTGATAAGACTATTACTACCACTAAAACGAACCTTTACCTCATCTAAGAAGTGAAATCGAGTTTGTTTGGGTTTTTATTTATTGCTTATTTTAGCGCAACATATCTATTAAAATCACACAAGCTGGTAAAACGTTCACCTCAAAAAATAAGTCACTATATGTCATCTCTTGATTCCACACACAACATGAAACTAAAACGAATGAAGGCCGTGAACAGCGCTGTGAGCTGTCCTTGGTGCTGATGTCACACCAATCCTATTTTAGCGCCCTCTTTGGGCAGTACATGATGTGTCTCTGATCAATGTTATGATTTGATTTGTAAACTATGGCAGAAA